GTTCGCTCGCGTGTAGGCCGATCGATAGCCTACTGTGAACGCGGCTGCTGCTTGCATGGTAGCTGTTTGGTCCCTCCTAACACAGGATCTGCTTGATGTTGTGAGCTGCAGTGCGCACGCTTATATCCAGTAGTTTTGACTTTGTCTTGTCCCCAGAACATGGTGGGTTAGGGAAGAGAGGTTGCGGCGTATCCTGCGCAAGCCATCTAGTGCAGCGGAGACGCATTTGTTTATGACGGCCGAACTGTTAGGTCCTTAGGTTTTTTACGAACAGAATAGAATGGGTGCTGCGCAACTAATCCCTGCTCTTGTGACCTTATGGCGCTTAGCGCCACGTGGAACCAGCCAGTCATTGACTGCCGATTTCGATGCTTTCCGCGAGTGACTTGTTCTAGAGTTCTGCCGATTGGCACAGTTTTGACGTTGAACCTGCTCCCAGAGAAATCTTCAGTGTGTATTCGATTAGAGGGAGGGTGTTAGGGTTTAACAGACATATGATCAATGATATGAGAGAGTTTTGCCTTTTTGCATGTATTATTTGCCCAAGCGGAACGCAGTTGTATACTTGCGTCAGTCAGCTAAAAATGGGGTCACTAGATTCCGCCGCAGTCGACTTGTTCTCGTATTACACCTAGACGGGTTAACAAATACTTTTTTTCACTGTACTGGCTGCTGAGACTTGAGGTCGGGCTTCCTAGCGCCCCGGGAAAACGTATTTATTGTAATACCGGTGCCAAGACACTTCCGTCAACATTCGTTTGATCAATTTTCTGCCTCTCCTCTAATCATTAGTTGGCACCTTTTTCCTCTATCAGAATGCAAGTGGAAAGAGCACAATTTCACTATCTACTCCGCCGGGTTTAAAGACTCCAGCACCTTTTTGATGACTCTCAGACGTTCGGGAGAATACTCTAATCCAGACAAAGTCATAGGTGTTTCCATCGCACCAACGGTTGGAGAGGTGGAACCTTTATCAAAATAATTGCAGTAGCTCAGTTACTCTTCAAAAAACTCATTTGATTCTAACGTCAGCGCCATGCTTAATTGCCTATCGGACTATTGTGTCTCCTTGTGATGCCCTCAGAGGAGAATATATTGTAAATCTTGGAATAGCTCTGGGGTTAAATGTGCATCCAAATACCCTGGACTAAACTGGAGGGGCTCGGAAAGAAAAAGACTAGTCACGTGTACAGGCCTGCAAACAGTGTGTTCGGCGCACCACACAATGATTTTATTTGCACATTTATCGCGGAAGCTAGATCAGGGCATGACATGCGTTATTCAGGTTGTGCTCCCATAAAAAGTACCGAAATGGGGGGGAAGGGAAGCGTGGTTGCACGCGTAGGGGCAGGCTCACGCCACGCCAGCCACCTGTGCTCGATCCTGCCTTCAGTCTCTTTAACCTTGTCTTAACATCGGGCACAGGTGGGGAAGACGAGAGTAAGAGAGAGCGCGGTAGATGCATTGCAGGTTGACTATCACCTAAACCAATCCTCACGCAAGTCACCGTCCCTGCACTACCACGCAGTTGCGCATACGTTGGATCTCGTCCGATGCGACGGTCAAAGTGTCATCTATGGCGAACTAGTTGACTTCATCGGTGCTAGACTCTTCTGATAGGAAAGAGCTTTGGCTTTACCCAAGCAGGTTTGCAACCGACTGCTTCATACACGGAATTTTAATCATGATAAGTCATAAACCTAAAGTAAGGGCTTCGGCTGTAAGTCGTATGCACACACACAGCTATCTACCCCACCATCACTTTTTGCCTGCGCGCGCAAACTGTCGACCGGATTTTGCGTGTTATTAAGCAAGACTTGCATTTAAAC